CCACTGTTGAACAACTCTTGCAGGAAGAAAGGCCCATTCTGTTCTTGTTCTGCCTTTGTTGTTGTTAGTTGCCCTCAAGTCGGTTCCAACTTATGGTGACCCTGTGGATGAGACATCTCCAGGGATCCCAATCTTCCACTGCCTTGCCTAGATCCTGCAAGCCCTTGCTCATAACCTCCCGATCTAGTCTATCCATCTGGTTTGTGGTCTTCCTCTCTTTCTTCTACCCTCTACCTTTCCTAGCATTATTGTTTTTTCTAGTGATATGTGCCTTCTCATTATGTGGTTAAAGTAGTCTCAACTTGATCATCTTTGCTTCCAAGGAGAGCCCTGGTCTGACCTGTTCAAGAACCCATTTGTTTGTCTTCTTGGCTGTCCATGGCATCCTAAGTACTCTTTTCCAGCACCATATTTCAAATGAGTTGATTTTCTTTCTCTTTGCTTCCTTCACTGTCCAGCTCTATCATCCGTACATGGTAATTGGGGATACAGAGGCCTGGACAATTCTGACTTTGGTGCTCAGTTGTATTTCTTTGGTCTTCAGTATCTTTTCCAGTTCTTTCATAGTCTTCTTCTTATTTCTTGACTGCAGTCTCCATTCTGGTCAATGTTTGATCCTAGATATGGGAATTCTTTAACTATTTTAATTTCTTCGTTATCTAGATTGAATTTGTGTATTTCTTTTGTGGTCATTATTTTTGTTTTCTTTATGTTCAGCATCAGACCTGCCTTTGCACTTTCATCTTTGAACTTCCTTATTAATTGTTCCAGTTCCTGAATGTCTTCTGCTAATATTATGGTGTCATCCGCATATCTTAGGTTGTTAATGTTGTTTCCTCGTATCTTAACTTCTCCCTTTTCTGATTTGAATTCTGCTTTGCTTATGATGTTTTCAACATATAAGTTAATTCTGTTCTGTCAGTGGCCTCTTGTCCTTGGTACAGATTCCTCATTAGGACTATCAGATGTTCTGCCTACTCCCCATAATTTGACCACTCATCTAGATGTCTTTTTCCCTCCCAGTCCTGCAAGATAACAAGGATTTTATGTTGCTTGGCTCTTTGTCTGTAGTGAATAGGTACAGAAGCTGTTACCAGAGTCTGATCTGGAGTGGTGCAGATTCCATCACCATCACCATATAAATCCATTAATACTTAAATAAATAAATATAAATAAGTCATGATGACAAGATGCTTGCCCACCCCCATGAAGAGATGACAGGTGGAATGATTTTTTGTTTGCCCTGTAGACACTTTTTCTTCTGAAATTCATCCCTTCACATACATTCTTTCATCGGTTCTGCCATATTCATATGGCTCCTGTTGGCTGCATCCACACTGCAGAAATAATCCAGTTTGACATTGCTTTACTCAATGCTGTGGAATTCTGGGAACTGTAGTTTTTGGTGGCCCCAGAGTGGAGCCAAGCCAGTTAAAGCAGTGTCAAACCGAATTATTCTTGCAGTGTGGATGAAACCATTCACACTGTGCACAACATTTTGCCCATTGCCAACTTCCTTTGCCTCAAGGCACCCAAACAGCACCTGTCTTCATAAGCATGCTATATTTCATTCCCTTCCTTGATGCATCCCCCACATGCACACTGTTCCTAATATTAGATATTTCTGATATTTTTCCCCAGGATGAATATATCTGAATTGTCTATTTAACTGCTGATTAAATCAAAAGATGCATTTAACATCATTCTAGTTTGGCACTAGTCTGTTGTGGCTGTTAGAATAATTCTGAGGCATGAACTGATTCCAACTGAATTGGGTTGGAATCTATGCTGACAGTTCCTCCTTTTCAGGCTTAAATCCCTTTTCTTGAAGAATAGGTTATAAAGAGCAGTCCAGTAGCATTGATCCTGAGGAATCCAGTCTGTGTTGTTCCCTAGAGAAACATGGCTGAGCAACAGCCTTCCTAAAAAAACAACTCTTCTTCTTCTTCATGGGAATGATGGTGAAGCAGATCTGATATACAGAAGCCTCCAAGGATGAACTGGCCAGAAACCAGAGAGATTCATCAAAAAGACTCCCATCGAAACACTTCCCGCAGCCTTCCTTTGGGATATGAGGCTGCAGCAAAAGCATAAAATAATCCAAACTACCGTGAAAGGAAGCGCAGGAGGCATAGAAGCCGAGAGAGGCAGTGGTTTTGGCAGAGAGTTGGAAGGAAAGAGAACAGGGTGAGGAGGTGGTACCCCGTGACCCTTCCCGCTGTCACAAATTCATAATAAAAGCTAGACTAACCAATCCTCAAATCCCTCGAGTCTCAGAGCTAAAAATATTTCCCCCTCTCCACTGCTCTCTCCCCCCAGCAGAGACTACATCATAAGACCCTGCTATTTACAGGGCCAGGAGTTACTTTATATAGAATGAGGAGTAGGATAAAACTATGAGCGTATTAGCAAGGATGAGGCGTGAGGGCAAGAGTCTCCCAGAACATTAAGGACAACAAACCTGGTCAGAGTCTGTGTGTTAACGCTTTGTCCAGGCAGATCAGAGTCATCATCATCTCTGCCTAGTTCAACCTCAGAAGGGCTGTGTTTCTTCTATGAACAATAAATCCATAAGGAATATTCTGGCCTTGGCTCTGGATTGGGATTCCTCTTTGACTGAATTCCCTTTTGGGAGATATTTCCGGTATCTTGCTGCTCTCTTGAAGGTCTCCTACAGGGCACCAGAACAGCCCTAAAGTGGATTAAACCAGTAGTCCAAATACAGTACGTAAAGAAAAAGGCTATCTGAGCCGAGATGGAAGCCGTGCCTTTTGGGGAGGAAAACTGTGCCACTTACCGTAAGTTCAAGTACATATTGTTACAGGCAATGATGGAGGTGCATTTTGCATATTCTCTGAGGAACTGCTCTTTCCAGCTACTATCCAAGTGCAGAATGAAATCAAACAGGGTTTGAATTTCATGTTTTTCATGCTATACATGCTGAACCCTGTGGTGAAATTGACAACTGGATTTAAATGGGTTGAATAACTTAGCAGAAGCTTTATAAGATGCTCTTCTAAGTGACTAATAATAATATTCATACTGCTTAGATAAGTATTTCTCAGGCAGGGTTCCCTGAAACTTTAAGGTTCCTTGAGAGGTCATTAGGGGTTCTTCACGAGATCGTAATTAAAAACATATAAAAGCTTTTCTTTCTTTCTTTCTTTCGTTCTTTTTTTCATTCTTTCTTTCTTTCTTTGGGAGTTGAAGATATAGTAATTTTTATGCCGGTTCCTCTGAGACCTGAAAATTATTTCAAAGGTTTCTCCATAGTTAAAAAGGTTGAGAGAGGATGGTTTAGATCCTAGAAGCCCTTTTAGGCCACACTCACACTGTAGAAATAATCCATTTTGGCACCACTTTAACTGCCATGGCTCAATGCTATAGAATTCTGGGAACTGGAGTTTTTGAGACATTTAGCCTTCTCTGTCACAGGGCTCTGGTACCACAACAAACTACGTTTCCGCAACTGTTTTTGGATCTTCAGTCCCTGATTTAGCTCTTCCATCTCCCGATAAAC